TTATTATTTGTTTTTTTTTTTTTTTTTTTTTTTTTTCTTTCTAATATGTATTTAAATAATACTTTCACATTAAAATTTTTTTTTTTTTTTTCAATTTTTAAATATACTAATTCTTAATTTGTTAAAGTTAAAAAAATAATTCAGTAATTCTAAATTATATATTTATCTATAATTATGAAATTATATTAAATTAAAAAAAAAAAATTGTTTTTAATAGGAATGATATAAATATCTAAATTTTTAATGAACACTGATTTTAGAGTTTCATAAAAAAGGCTGATAGCTTCTTTTTATATTCCTAAGAATAATTCCTTTCTTGTTCTTTTGTATTAAGAGATCTTTTGAAGTGAAGATAATATAAACATTAATAAATATTATTAATTATTCTAATTTTTAATTATAGTGATTTGTAAGAAAATATTTATATATTTAAAAATAGTATTAAATGAATTTCTTATAATATATATTTTATTTTTTAAGAATATACTTTTTAATATTTGTTAAGCTACATATATGTCTTTTTATTTTTTTAGTGTTCTTAAAATATAATAGCACTACGAAATTTCACTAACGTATATTTTCACATCAATAATGTAACATTCTTACTATTAATATTTTTGTTTTTTGTTTAAATTGAAACTTAAATTTCTTAAAAAGTTTTATATATTTTTAAAAATAAACATTATAGAAAATACGTTGCGATGTATGTTCAATTTATAATTAAAATTTAAAATGTGTGTAAATTTATGAGCCTTGATATTGTACTATTACAAAATAATTTTTTTTTTTTATGCTACTTACAAAAAGTATTCTTTAAAAGTCTTATACATCCACTTTTTATAACTTTTTCTAAATTATATTTAATTTAAATTTTTATTTTATTATAAAGAAAATTTTTTATTAAGATTTAAATAAAATTTAAATTATAAAATATTTTTGATATACCATGAACAACATTAACAAATAAATTGTTTTTAATGTACCATGAATGACAATTATATATAAATTATTTTTGTTGAAAAGTATGGTTTTTTTTTTTTTTTTTTTTATTAATATATCTTCTACATTTTATATTCATATAATTTACCCAGTTGTATGATTCTCTTAATTTGTGATTATCAGGTGACTATTAAAAATTTACTTATATCCTCAGTTAATATAGAAATATATTTATAAAAATACTTTATATTTAATAATTTATATCAAAAAAGATTTATCTCTTTTTAAACATAGTAAATAAGAACTAAAATAATATAATATAAAATTTAAAAATATGTATTACTCACTTTGTGCATCCATAAGAATAAGCATATAGGATTTTTATTAGGTTTTTAATATTCTATTTAAAGAAATTTAATAATTTAGATTATGAGTAACCTAAAAATCCTTTTCAAAGTGACACTTTTTATATCAACGTTTATTTATGTTTTATCTTTATATTATTCTCTTTATCTATTATATAATAAATAGGATTTTTTTAATTTTGATCACATTCATTTATTTATTTTAATTTTGAAAATTTTATTAGAATGGTAGATATAAATAATTTTTTTTATTTTATTACACAATTTTTTTTCTTTTCCTTTTTTTTTCGAAAAGTTATAAATTTTGTTCTAACATATTACAATACTTTTTTACATTAAAATAATTATTAATTATAAAATTATCACACAATAATTCTTCATTTTTGTTTTTTTTCTATTCATACAGAAAAATAATTAATTTTGAATATTTTATAGCTTTACTATTTTTAAAAATAATATTTATCAAATCCTTTTCATTTTTTGAATACTAAAGAATAAAAAAAAAGAGATAAGAGAAAAAAAAACATGAAAATGGGTGTATTGTAATTTCATATTAACAAAAGAATTCGTTATTAAAATAAAGTTTTAATAAGTATTCTTTAAATATTGAAAAGATATGTTTTTCGTTTTCGTTTGTCCCAAATTAAATTTGAGTGAGTGAACATTTATTTAATGATTACAATGTCATTTTATATATATCAAGAAAAAAATACCCTCTATAATGAATAAATTCTTTTGATTTTCCTTAAAAATAAAAATATGGAAACATCTTAAAACATAGTTAATATTACTTAGTTTAAAATATAAGTATTTATATTTGAAATAAGTTTGTAGTTATATCTTTGTTGCTTTTTATTAAAATTCTCTAAAAATAACTATAACAAAAATAATAAGATGTTAACAGTTGTAACTTTTTCAAAAGGAAAGTTCGAAAAATAATTCTTAAAACTTGTGTTATATACATTTTAATGAATATTTGAAATATCAACATAAATAATTGAATTCAAAAAATTTCTATTTTCATACTTAGATGAAGTAATTTTTTCATAATTTTGTTACGTGTTTTTAATCTACAAAAATATGTATGAAATAAAAAAAGAAGAAAATTCACATTTTTTCCTGTAATATTCATATTATGCACATTTTCTTAATATTCTATTTAATAAATTGATATATAATTAATTAGAAATATGATATAATATAATACTTTCTAAATAATATTCTTAACAGTGAATGTGTGTGCATATAAGTTTTACAGTATAAATTTTTTTTTTATTTTTATTCTAACGTATAAACTTATTACTACATATATCATTCATAAAAAAAATATTATATTGTAAAATAAATACAAAATATAAACAAGGATATTAAAATTTTTTTTTTTATTAACACTATATTATGGATGTAACAAAACTAAAAGGAAACATAAGACATACAACATTATAATATATAAAAACTTGAAAATATAGAAATATAATAAAAAAAATAGCTATTTAAGAAAAAAAAAAAAAATAAATAATATTATGTATTTTTTTTTTTTTTTTTTATTACATTTTAATAAAAAATGTCATTAAATAACTCATACTTCTACATAATATTATTTTTTTTTTCTCCCTTAAATTATAGCTTTTTTTTTTTTTTCTTTTAATTTTGCGTAGTTTTTAAATTCTTGTATTGCCTTTTTTTCGTCCGTGCAAGGAAGGTAAAAAAAATATAATTTTTTTTTTTTTTCAGACAAAAAAAAAAAAATGAATGAAATATAAAAATTTTAAGTCGGTGCAGGAATAAAACTTTCATTTAGCATAAAATTTCTTTGAAGTGATTTAAATATTTATTAATTCTAAAGTTTACATATTTTTTTTTTATTTTTTAAATTCATAAGGGACCTTCAGTAAAAAGTTTGAATATACATTCTGTATGTGTATTAATATTATATATATATGCATTGATATATATATATATATATGTGTTTTTAAATATAATAAATTTATGGCGATTTAATTTTTATTAGTTTTTATGTGACTATAACATATGTATAAATTTATTTTTCCATTTTTTTTTTTTTTTAAAGAAAAAAAAATATATTATGATGTAAATTATAAAAATGAATAGTTTCCTCGTATGCATACATATGTGTTACTTTAAAAACATAATTAAAATTCATTCAAAATTTAATAATTTTTAATATTTTTTTTCAATATTCTCATAATATATAAATTTACAATAATTTGCATTTGTGATAAGTTAAACTTTTTAAATAAAAAGTTCATTAAAGTAAAAAATTTGTATTTTTTTTTTTTTTTTTATTAAAATATACATAGATATTATTTTATATTTTTAAATACATATATGTGTTTTATTTATTCACACCTTACTTTTTTTTATCGTATATTTTTATTTATTTTTATTTTTTTTAACACTATGCTATATAAGTAAAATATATTTATCTGTCAAATAATTTTAAAGGAAAAAGATATTAAATAAGTAATAATTAATATGATATGAAATCATATATTTTTTTTTTTTTTAATATTAAAAATATATATTTGACTATATAACAGTATATATTAAAAAGTAATCCAACAAAAATAATGAAAACGACTAGTAGTAGTGTAAACTCATTTAGCTTACATGAAAATGAGAACAAAATATTAGAAAAAAATAAAACATCTATTGATTATATAAAAAATAAATACAAAAATAACAACAATTTAAATTACATTAACAGAGATAAAAATTGTAAAGAAGAGGAAGAAGATAAAGGAAAAGAAGTAACTGATATAGAAATTGAGGTAGAAAAAAAAAATAAAAAAGTAAATAGTACTAACGTAATTTTAAGTAAGAACAAATGTAAGAAACCTGTAGATATTTCAATAGAAAATGAAAATAGTTTTATTAGTAGATACAAAAATACTTATACAAAAGATATAAATTCAAATAATGAAATTAGACAAGATAAGAGTAATAATTCATTAGCAAACAAATTAAAAAATGTTAATAAAGATAGTAAATTCACAACAAATAAAAATTATGATTTTATAAATAATACAAAACTCAGTGAATATTCTATCTTTAAAAATGAAAATAGTAATTATAATAGAAATAAAAATAATGTTAATGCATCAACAAAAAATTCTAACGATAACGGTAGTTTTAAGAGAAAGTTTTATGCAGTTGAAAAAAAAAAAAACAATAGGCATATAGATTTAGAAACATATGAATCAGTGTATAACTCTAATAAAAGTATGCAATTTTAAATTAGTTTATGTTTTTAGTTTATATATAAATAAAAATATGGATAAATAGTTTAAAGTTATATTCATGAAGTAAAATTATTTCATTTTTTTTTCTCTTAAATATAGATAGTGAGAATATATATATTTTTTTATTATACGAATTTTTCTTTTTTTTTTTTACTTTTTTAGAACTTACACTAAGGAGACAAAATTCAGAAAATATTCATAATTCATCTAGCACGGTAAATGATTTTTTATAATAAATATTTTCTTCTATTTTCATGTTAAATTTGCTATTATCTTTATTATTTTATTATTGCTGAACTATATAAAATTATTTGACATTTTACTACACGTGCAAAGTTATTTGCAATTATTGTTATATAATTTTTATTAAGTATGAATATATTTATTGTTAACATTAAAAATTTATATTATCATATATAAATATATCAGTATTTATTATATGACTCCTTATCTTATTATTCTATCTTTTTTTTTTTGGTTTTATTACATTTTTAATTTTTAGGATTTAAAAGAAAAAAATAATGGCAATAACATCTCAGAAGATAGTGATAATATAAATAAAGAAGAAAAAAAAATGAATAACTATGAATTGTACAAAAATAATATGAATAATGGAGATTATTTAAGTAATTTAAAAGGGGCTGATATCAAAAATTTGTTCTTTAAGAATGATGATAAAAAAGACAACGAAGAATATAAAGAAAAAAATTTTCCATATGGTAATAGAAATTATAAAGAAAATATTAATAATCATGAAAATTTATATAAAGGTAATATTAGATATAATTCTACAACAACTAGTGAATTTCCAAGAAATAATAACACAAATAAGATAGACATGAATTTATTATATAATAATGATATTGAACAACTGAACTCCAATACACCTGTTTATAATGATACAAATAAATTAAGCGATTTACAAGAAAAATATAAAAATAATTTCTATTTTGAAAAAGGTTACACTAATATGAATGATGTCAAAGAAAAGGAAAACAGTAAAATAAAAAATGATACAATATTCTCTAATAATATGATGTACAATGAAAATAATTTAAAAAATGGATTGAGGAGTAATTATATAAACAGTATAATAAATAATAGAAATATGAAAGAAAACAATACAAACGAAAAAAATGATTCTAATGAAAAGGAATTAGATATGTTTAAAAATTTAAATTATAATAATGACAAAAACAAATCAGAAAACACAAATGATATAAACAATAAAAAAAAAAAAATTCTGGAAAATTTAATGAATATGAATAATAATAAAGATGAAGATAAAAGCATAAATGGTTTTAATTTGAATGATATAAAAAATAATTATATAGACAATTTTTATAAAAAAAAAAATACCATAAATATAGAATTTAAAAATGCTCATAAACGTTCTAGCTCAAGCAATGTAAATATAGGAAAACAAGAAACAGAAAAATATAGTAATTATTTAAATTATATGGATGATACAGAAACCAAAATAATTTATAAAGAAAAAGAACCCATAAATATTTTAGGTTATGAAAAATATTTACAGATGAGAAATGATAATAATGATAATTTTTTTAAAAGTAAAATAAATTATTTAAACATTAATGATTTAAATAAAAATAATTTTAATAGTCCACTAGTTAATAATAATGCAACTTTGAAAAATAATAATGATATAACAAATATAGGAGGAAATTTTGATTTGAATGAATTAAAAAGTAAACATTTAAATAATTTTAATAATAATTCAGAAGAAACGAAAAAATTAAGTAAGAAGGAGATATATTTTGATGATAAAAATGAGAATAATCAAAATATTATGAATGAAAAAAATAAAATTCAGCCTTTAATAAGTAATTATGAGGATTTATTTTCTTTTGATAAAAATATTAGAAAAAAAAATGATTTTAAAAATATTGTGTGCGTATGCCAAGCAAGTAAACAAATGGCTCGATTACAAATTCACATGGAAGAGAATAGACAAATGCTAGAAACTGAAAAAAATTTACTGAAAAAAAGAAAGGATAATTTTGAAAAAAAAGTAGAAATGTTAGCAGAGAAAGAAAAAGAAGTTGAAAAAATTCATTCACAAATTAAAGAAAAAGAGATAACAGTAGAAAAAAAAAAAAATGAAATTGAAGAGAAGGAAAAATACATAAATTCCATAAAAAATAAATATGACAATGCTCAGAAAGAACTTTTAGAAAAGATGAACGAATGTATTACTATCGAAAATAAATGTAAAAGCAAATTATATGAATACGATGAAAAGTTTGGCCAATTTAATAAGAAAATAAAAGAAATGGAAGAAAGAGAAAAGGAAATAGAAAATGAAAGAAAAAATATAGAAAGGAAAGAAAAAATGCTAAATAATAATAAAAAAGAATTAGAAGAAGAAAAATTAATAATTATGAAAGAAAAAAATGAGCTTGAAATATTAAAAAAAGAATTAGAATCATTAGAAAAAGAAAAGAAAAAAATTATTGAAAGTGAATATAATAACTTGCAAAATAAGGAAGACGAATTAAGAAGAAATGAACGAAATAATCTTATTAAAGAAAAAGAATTAAAAAATAGAATTGATAGGTATAATGATTTAATTGATGAATTAAATAAAAATAAGAATGAGTTTGAAAAGGATAAAATAAAAATACTAGATGATTTGCAAGAAGAAAGGTTGAAATTCTTAAATGAAAAAAAGCAGTTTCAGATAGAAATAGAGCATGAAAAAAATAATTTAAAAAAAGAAAAAGAAAACGAGGTAAATTATATGAAAGAAGAATTAAAAAAAGAAAGAAATTTAATGATTGAAGATATAGAAAGAATGAAATTAATTATGTTGGAAGACATTGAAAATACTAAAAATATGATGTTAGAAAATATTGAAAAAGAAAAAAAAATATTAAAAGATGAAATAGAAAATGAAAAAATAGTAATGAAAAAAAATTTAGAGGAAGAAAAAGAAAAATTTAAAAGTTTAGTTGAACATAAGTATAAGGAAAATTATGAAAATGATAAATCTATATTAGAAAAAAAATATGAAGAAGAAAATAACAAATTGCAAAACGAAATTGGAAATGAAAAAAAAAAATTAAGTAAAGATAGAGACAATTTTGAGCAACAAAAAAAAATATATGAAGAAGAATTTAGAAACAAATGTGAAAAGTACGAAAGTAGCATTCAAAAAAAATATGAAATTATGGAAGATGATAATAATAAAATGAAATATCTTATAATGAAAGAACAAGAAGAATTAGAAAATTATAAAAAGACTGTTTATTTAGATATAGAAGAAGAGAAAGAAAAATTATATGTACAACAAGAAAAGATAAATTTAGAGAAAGAAAATTTATTAGTAGAAAAAGAACAAATTGAAATAGAATTAAAAAATTATAAGAACTTTAAAGAAAAAGAGGAAAACGATATAAAAATTCGTATTATAAATTTGTCACAGCAACAGGAAGATTTGAATAAAGAAAAAGAAAGCTTGGAAAAAGAAAAAGAAGAAGTAGAAAAGAGAAAATTTGATTTAGATGAAAGAGAAGAGGGGTTAAATAATGATAAGAATCAAATAGAAGAATCACGTAAAATATTTGATCAACAATTAGAAAAAATAAAAAAAAACAAAGAGGAATTATTAAATTATGATAAAGAATTGAAAACAAGAGAAATAAATTTAATTGAAAAAGAAAAAGAGTATAATAAAAAGGAAGAAGAATCAAATAAGAAGAGAGAGTTACTTAATGCATTTGATAATGAACTTAAAGAATACAGCGCTAAATTACAAGCTAGAGAAAAGAAACTTAAAGAAAAAAAGAATGAATTACAGAAGGTTAAAGATCAGCTAATTAATTACAAAAATAGTTTAAAACAAAAAGAATCACAATTTCAAATGATAGAAAAGCGAGAAAAGGAATTATTAGATGAGCAAACAGTAATTCAAATAGATAGAAACAGCCTAGAAGCAGAAAAGAAACAATTTTTCTTAATGAAGGAAAAACATGAAAAAGACACCGAATTTATACAAGAACAATTAAAATTATTACATGAGCAATTAAAAAATAAAGAAAAATCTCTTAAGGAGAAAGAGAATGAAATAAATTTACTAAATAAATTGCAAGACTGTAGAAATAAAGGAGGAAAGGGGACTATAATATCCTTAAAAAATCTAGATAATAAAATGCTAAGTTCAAATATATCAAGAGCAAGTTATTCTAGAAATAAAGTGAAAGTTAAAATTATTGGAAAAAATAAGTTAGATATAATAAAAAGAAGAAATAGAAAAAAAAGTATAAATTTTAATTATAATAATCTTGAAATTAATAATAGTATTCAATATATAGATAGCATGATAAATGAAAATTTCAAAAATAAAGCTTTTTTAAAATATAATAACGATAATTTAGTTTTGTCAGGTGCAAATTTTTCAACAGACAAAGTGAACAATGAAATATATAATCATTCAACAAATAAAATAAATAATAATACAGGTTCCAAATACTTGAATGATAAGGCAAGTTATGATAACCAGGAGAAAATAGATGGATTATATAATATAAATGATAAAAATAATTATAATAATAATATTTCAAATAATTCAAAAAAAAATATAATGAATTATGCGATTAATGTAAATAATGATGCTGGAAGCACTATTACTAGTAATAATGAAAATAGTTCAAATAGGAACTATATGAATAGGAATAATAATGAGGATGTTGATCATTACAATAATAATAATAATAATAATAATAATAATAAGGATAATAATAATTATAAAAATAATTTGAATGATGCAAAAAACTATTCTGATATTAATAATTTAACTGATAGATCTAAAAATAATTTTGAGAATCATTCATATAAGCATATTCAAAATTATAATTTGAGAAATGACGATTTTACAAAAAAAGATTTTGTGAATGAAATATCTATTGAAAATTTGGAAAATTATAAGAATATAGATAATAATAACAGTGATGTGAATGAATATTTAAACAATTATAATAATGATAATAGAAATTATAGTGAACAAAATAATAAAAACGATAAAAAAAATATAAAAAATATTATTTCATATAATAATAATATAAATGAAAAAAAAAATGATAATGTAAATATATTAAATAATAATAATAATGAGTACATATATTCAAATAATAATACTAAAAACACAAACAATTATGAAAACGATTTTCGATCGGATATAAATATTATGCATTGTGATGAAAATGAAGATAATAAAAAATATAATAAACAAAATAAAGAGTATATAAATAATAATAAAAAAAATAACTTTGTTTCTAATAATTTTTATAATAATAGTTATAATATAAATAATTTAAATACCAATATTAAAATGGGTATTAGTAATTTGAACGATACTTCAAGTTCTAAAAATAATTTAGGTTCTGATTTTAAGGAAAAAAAAGAGCAAACAAATATGTTATCGTCATTAAATGTAAATAATTTAATAGAATCTGATTTGATTGATATGAAGAGCAATTTTGAATATTATTCTGATAAACAAAATAATAAATATGATGATTTAGAGATATTGGATTATAATAAAAAAGATGGAGCAATGTTAGAATGTAATAATATTATAGAAAATGATATTGATCATGATGTTTTATCTATTGATAATATAAATAAAAACATTAATTGTATTAATAATAATGTTGATAATATAAATAACAATATAAATAATATAAAAGATAATATTCTTAAAATTAATAGCAATGTGCATAATAATGATATTCCAAACAGAAACAATAATAATGATGAAATATTAAAAAAAAATAAAAAGAATCAATCATCCCTGAATAAAATTGATAATTTAGTAAATAAAAATATGCAATCAATAAATCATTTATCATCATTAATGCAAAGCACAAAAAAAAAAAATATTCCACTTAGTCAGTTAAATGATAATTTTAAGAATTATAATTCATTAAAAAATAACAAGAACGTTAATAACGATAATTTTTCTAATGAATATGATTCATTAAAAAAGGAAAGTAATTTTAATGAATTTTTGGAGGATATAAACTCTGAAAAATATTTTAATTCAAGATTTGGTGAAAAATTAGATGATAATCTTTATCATAATATGAATAAATCTTTTCAAAATAAAAATATAACAGATACATATGAACATAAAAATTTATATAATAATAAAGAAATTGACATAAATGATGATATAAATATACAATTAATAAATGATAATTGTAATAATAAAAATAATAGAAGTAATAATAATAAAAATAATATAAATATTTCTTCAATACCTTTATCTAGTAATAATACGAAAATAATCCAAGAGACAGGATACAACAGTGACAGCAATGTTTTAAATAATTATAGTTATATGATAAATGAAGATAATAATTCTAAAAGAGTTAATCCACAATTTATTAATTATGAAAATGAAAACAAGTTAAAAACTCGTAACAATAGTAGTAATATTTATCATAATAGTAACAATCCACATATTTATAAAAATAACATAATACATAATATAAAAAATAGAAACCCAGAATATATAAATGATAGAATTAATAAAAACCAACATGAATCTAAAGAATTACTCTATGAAGATAATACAATTAATCATGAAAGTGTGGAAAATAATAGAGATAAAATCATAAATGAAAATCATAATAAAATGGTTTATCTTAAAAAAGTACATTTAAACAATGTAGCACTATTAAAAGAAACAAACAAAACAAATTTAAAAGATCAAGAAAGTAACAACTATTTCAATAAAAATAAAAATACACGTGATATAAATACAACAAATAATTTGAAAAATACTCAAATGAATACTCAAAACTTAACAAATGAGAATAAAAACATAAGTATAAATAATTACAGCAATAATAATAAATTCCCTAATAGATTAGAGAAAAATATAAATAAAAATGTAAATATGATAAAAATAAAGGGTTTTATGAAAGGAATACAAAATAACAAAGAATTACCTAATAATAATTCTTTAAGCGAAAATATAAATTTAAAAAATCAAAAAAATAAAAATAATATTGAATATAATAATTATAATAAGCATGTTACTAATTATAATGATAAATATTTAAATTCTAAAATTATCACAGATAATAATGATCAAGGTAAAAACAACGATATAATAGAGCAATTAGATAAAACTTTATTAAATAAATCAATTATGATGAATAAAAATAAAAAAAAATATCAGAAAAAATAATGCTTTTGATGATATAATAACCATTATGTGATAAAAATGTGTGATACATATATGATTATAATTTTTAAATAGTTTAATACAAATAGTGAAATACAAAACACAGGAAACATAACGAAAATGGTGATAAAAATAATAATGTTTTCAAAGCAGTTTTTTAAAAATAGAAAATAGTGTTGTAAATACATATATGCGCTAATTTTTCCTTAAAAATATTAAAAAATGGAAAATACTAAAAAAAAAAAAAAAAAAAAAAAAAAAA